GCCAGGTGCCAGAACTTCTCTAGTTATTCAGTTCCAGGTGCCAGTACTCCCCTTGTTATTCAGTGCCAGGTGCCAGTACTTCCCTTGTTATTCAGTTCCAGGTGCCAGTACTTCCCTTGTTATTCAGTGCCAGGTGCCAGTGCTCCTCTTGTCATTCAGAGCCAGGTGCCAGTGCTCCCCTTGTTATTCAGTCTCAGGTGCCTGTACTCTCAGCAGATATTGTGCGATGCAGGTACCCTGAAGAGAAAAACAAAGAGGTGCTGGTACTGCATACCTGTGAGTACTGACCCACTTCAAGCACTGAATACATTGATAGAAAAGCGTATAGTTTAATTTCCAAAGTGCCCATTGAATACTGAAGGAACATGCAGTGTAATGGCTGTATCCTTTTTTGACTTAAACACAGGGTGAAATATGGCCCATAGTTATGAGTCCAAATGATCAGTGGACGTCTCTGCCTGCGACTGCAAACTGCCTGTGTGAGTAAAACTGACCAGTTTGCTTTGGTTGTAAGATATTACAGCTGCTAAACTGACTTTTGAATATAAAGCTAACATTACTTTTGGTTTTTATTACAGAGTCAGACTATTACACCGGACCTGGTTTCCTTACAGCCATAAACATCTAAGCAATGGCTCACCAAGAGGTTTGGCTACAGCATTTCGGCATTTGATGCATTTTGTCCATAAATACCAGACACTGAAAGGCAGGGAAGCTTAAGCTGAGTAACGATTTTCAGCTGAAGGTTGCTGAACATAGCAGCTAAAAAGCTCTCTCTCCGCAGTGCTCTTCCCCAGGCTACTTCCGTACCGTACCGCCCTACACCAAGTGGTACAGACTGGCTGGAACAGAATAACTTAATCTGAAATATGTATAATTATATTACTTCCGTACCACCCTACACCAAGTGGTACAGACTGGCTGGAACAGAATAACTTAATCTGAAATATGTATAATTATATTACAGTACTTCCGTACCGCCCTACACCAAATGGTACAGATGGGCTGGAGCAGAATAACTTAATCTACAATATGTATATTGGATGCTGTCTTAACATGATGTTTGTTTTGATTTTGACCCTACCGTTTTAATGTGCTCTGTTGGATCTTAAATTTAAACTCTTTATATTGGACAAGTCTCTCTTTTAAAAGAGATTTTTTTAAATCAGTGAGACTAACCTGGTTAAATAAGGTTAAATAATAAGGCAGAAATAAACACACGTGTGTCTCCTATAGTAATGAAAAATCATAGCAGGTGTCTCCAGCAGACATATAACACTGTGAGCAGGAAAACTGACTTCTGTTAAGGGAAAGTTCAGTGCATGTGTGTGAGTGACCATAAACAGGTCTGTGAGTCTCATGGACTCATCTCTGACATTCTTCAGATCCAGACCTCACTCGCCGACCTCTTGCTGGAGTATCTGGAGGAGCTCGATGGTGAACAGCTGAAGAAGTTTAAATGGACACTGAGTCACACAAAGTATAAAGAGTTAAAGCCCCTTCCCAGGGGTCAGGTGAAAGACTTGGATAGAACAGACCTCACCGACACGATGATAAGTTACTACAAGGAAGTTGGTGCTCTTGAAGTCACACTTGAAATCCTGAAGAATATGACCCTGAATGACCTTGCTGAGAGACTGAAGGAAGACCTGCAGAAGTGTAATCATATTTTTAACCTTTCTTGTTTTCTTATACAATGTAATCTTTTTTAGCTCTTGAAAAATGAATATATTAACATAATATGGGAAATGATGAAGAGTTTGCTACATACTGATGTTGAAGATAGAAATGAATATGACATTCTTTCTTATTTCAGGTAACCAAACAGGAAGTGAGCTGGGTGACGTATCAGAGAAAAGTAAGAGGTGTATGTAATTATCTACATGTATGTGGTGTTTCAGAAAAAAAGATGTATGATGTGAAATTTAAAGTTTCATTTATCACTGTGAAATAGTGAACATCGTGTGTGTGTGTGTGTATGTTTTATATTCTTCCTCTCACACTGGTCAGGATCCTGTTGAGAAATTGTCCATTTTTCTCCCATATTTCTTCAGGGGAACTCATGATGGACAGAATAAAATGTAACCTGAAGAAGAAATTTGAGTTTATAACTGAAGGGAAAGCTAAGGAAGGACAGCCAACACTTCTCAAAGAGATTTACACTGAACTTTACATAACAAAAGGTGGAACTGGAGGAGTCAATGATGAACATGAAGTGAGACAGATTGAAACATCATCCAAGAGACGACGAACAAAAGATACTACAGTCAAGTGCAATGATATATTTAAACCCTTATGTGGGCGTGAGACA